GGCAACACCAACTAGTAATCTGAAGTCATGATGAAAACTTTTGAATTTCACAATAGATGGGCAGACTTACCCATAATTTCAACTGGCAAACTATGAGCATCCTTGGCCAAGCTAAGTCCAAAAACACTAGGAAATTCCTAGAAGTTTGGTGCTCAGACAAATCAGCTATCAACAGGCACACAGAATTAACACAACATTTACCCACTATTCAGCAGAAAATGAAAATCTAAAAAGGAAACAAAAAGATCAGAACATCTCGTCAGAAATCATCACCCGGATTAACAGGGATTTATACTAGGATTAATACCAGACCAATAATGAAGCAGTAAACAATACTCCACTCAAAGAACTACCAACTCAGACAAACAAACAGTAAACAACAACCTATTGAAGGAACTATCTAGAAATAAATATTTCCATCAACACTGACAGGGAAAACCACTGTATATAAACAGAGAAAATCTGGCTTCCTGAAGATGTTACCTAATTCAGGGGTACTCAACCATGCTAGCTCTGCAGACCGGGGGCAACAGCAACAGCAGGGAGAGATGGAATGATTTCACAGCATGCGCTGTTTAACAAATGAAGCTTCATGTGCTCATGCTCACCTGCTGCTTGTGTGGCCCGATTCCCAAAGGGCTGCAACCCTGACCTAGTTGGATAATGAAACGACTGCAAGAAAACAACCAAACTCAGAGAGCACCAAGCTAAGCCTCAACCACATTTAGCCTTGCCCAAAATATATACTCTAATAATGATAGGGAGATGGCTTTTAGTTAACCATGATACTAAATTATTATAGGCTAATATTACCAAATTAAAAGAATCATATCCATATCTACAGAGATAAATAAAAATAAAATTTCTGCTTACTAACATTATTATTTCTCCTATGGCACATTCACATTTTTTATTTTAAAAAATCCACAAGAGATAAAATACAAAATATGAACTATAAAATCTAAAATTGTATAAACATATATCTACATTACAGATATAATTTTTTTCCTCCATATGTCTCAGCCAGGAAATCTCTATTATAGATTCTATTTTGGCACTCTGTCATTATATGTTGGATAGTTTGTTTTTCAGCCCCACAGTCATAAATTAGTGATAGTATTTTGCCCCATTTATTGACCTTGCACATCTACCATGGTCAGTGCAAATTCAGTTCAGTGTTCAGGGGAACAACAAATATTTGTGTCTGTGACATTCCTTAAGTCACAAGTGTCCCCTACATGGTGCTAAAGAACAGTCACTTCAAGGCAAAACATCTGAAGCTTTGAAAACATAGCAGCCAATTAATCCTAGCAATCTCTTGGCTACATCACATCACATCAATAAATCCTAATCACCACCAACAAGATGTTCCATTCAGAAATGGTTCAATCACGTGCAGGAATATTACACAAAGCCAGCATTAAAAACACACCATAGCCTTCTCTAATCTTCTACTTTCTTTTGTAGATCTCATTCTTTTAATGATTAAATCACTTTTTGTATCAATAGTTATGGATTTTAATCAGGCTCATTACAAAGCAAAACATTAAGCTATCAACAGTTGTTGACTTTTAATAGCTGTTCCCTTACTAGCCTAACTAAAACCATCTTCACAGTTTATTAAGTACATACATTTAGTTTATGTACTCTAGACTTAAAGCAACCAGGAGTAAAGCAGAGATCACTTTTTTTGCAGCCATTTCACCTTGCATTCCAGTGAGTTTTCCTTGCCAAAAACTATCAAAGCAAATTGCTCCAGGGGACAATATATGGTTGTCTTACAAAAGTGAGAATGCCAAAGAAATGGATTTTACAGACTGATAACCATTTTTAATGGTTTGTGATTTTCGTTGAAGAAAAAAAAAATCATATGAATAATATGGTCATAATTGCAAGTCAGATGCAGCAGCCAATATATTGTGGATTCACATTTTGATACAAGACTTCAAATTATACTTTGATACGGAAATTAATGAGTCGCTTTTGGCAAGATGGATGGCATACAAATTTGATAAATAAATAAATTCAAATAAATGCCTGCAACCAGTTAGAACAAACTTGAAGCTAATGAAAGCAGTATGTTTGGGAGTAGTCACAGAGTAAGTCTTTTGTTATCCATAAAGAACATTATTGATTATAAAAATAAGCTAACACCTGTAATCAATTAAGCCTAACAATGTCCACCAACTCTGCACTTCTATTTATCAAATATTTAATTCATTACATTTATAAACTACCTTTATTTCAGAGAGCTCATAATGATATATCTAAATGGGGATGTGTAGTGTTTCAGATATTGCTCATCTGCAAATTTCATTGGCTCTGACATTGGCCAAATTGTCTCAGTCATTAGATAGACTAGGAAATGAATTACATAGGAAAACTCTACTACTTTTTATTGAGATTAGCTATAATAACAGAATATTCTAAATCTGATTTTGCTGCATTCTTTATTCTGATATTCCAGGGAATCAGGGAAGTATCTGCCTAAGCATTTTCCAAATATTATCTTAATAAATGTCATCAGAGTTGTATTGGCCTAGAACAAACTCAGTCTTTGACATTAGGAAGTGGAATTGTGAGTCTACCTCTTCAATGTTTTCTGTATCACAGAAAAGAAACGGCTATTTTTGGAATAACTAATAAGTGGCAATACCAGCTTTATAAAACAGACAGACTCAAATAATAAGAGCGTCTAGTCCAAACTCCTACCTATACAAGATGTGCATTCCTACAGTATTCCCATAACATTTTCTTAAGAAACTCATAGTGGATTATGATAATCTGTTCTATAGCTAATAACTCATCACATGGGAAATTCTTTCTATTGTTTAATTAAAAACTTGTAACATGAACAAACTTTACAAGCTTCTTCTGTGTGTAACTTCTTGAAGATGGCTATCATATTATCATTTCATGTTCATATGTTGTCATTATTACTTCACCATATTTATACCAAACACTCCCAATCTTTTTCTTCATAGGACTTGTCTCCAGATTCCTTCCCATATCTATAATAATCTTTTCGAGCCAAGGAAGTTCCCTCAGTCCATGTATAGATGAAACATACTAAGTTTAGCTTTTCCTTTCTCTGGACTCAGTGCAGAAATTAAAACAATCTAGTGAAGAAAGAGCAAGAACAATCTTTATTTCTGTGCCCAATTCTCTTATCCCCATGGAAGTTTGGGCAGCTTTTGCTACCAATAAAGTTATTAAATAAAGTATTTATACAGCTATATTATGCCTGGCTATTAATTTCCATAAACATAAACAAGTTACTGGCATACACTGCAAAGTAGATGAATGCTCAATAACACTGCTGCCTGATTCAAAAAGCCACATATGGAAAGTACCTGCCAGTAAAGTTGGACATATTCCTTCCTCACTGCCTTTTGCACACATTAACATCCAGAGATCCTAGCGGAACTTGCCTGGTTGAAATTGCTGTAGTTTCCCAGAATAGCTACTTCTCCTTTGCCAAGACTCTTAATTTGATCTGATGCTGGTTATGATCAACTAAAGGACAGAGGTTTAAATGTGAAGGTACAAGAAATTTGTGTTACATAAACACAATTTAGCCTTTTCCAACCAATATATGTGAAACAAGGTATAAATCACACATATGGAAGAGATCAGAAAATGATCTAAATGGTTTGGTTATCCATCACATTAAGTAACATGTGATTTGCTTGGACTTGATTAAATATAATGTAGTACTCAGAAAACTAATGCCAAACAAATAGCATTTGTCTGTTATGGAAACTATTTCTTCTTCAATAAAATATTTCATTTTGTTCCTTCATATTTTAGATGTAAAAATCTAAAAATGCTGGGCTATCAAATCCAAACATCATCTCTAACAGCAGATAATAATTATATTATTTTTTTATTATCTATTATCTAGTTACTATTAAAAAGCAGCAGGTTGATGAATGTGGCCAGTTTAATTTTATCTACTGATTTGGGAGAAACAGGAAAAGCTTATCATGACAACTCGACCCATGGTTTGTTTTTTTGCTGTAAAAAATAAACCAGGATTCAGAAGAAAAAAAACAAGCACTCTGAATTATTAGTGGCTTTTTGGTAGTGGTGGGATTCAGCCAGTTCGTACCACTTCGGCAGAACTGGTAGCTAATTTTTTGTTGCCCAGGCCCAGAATGGATTTCCGGAAGCAGCATCCACACAGATGTTCACATATTTGAATCCCACCACTGCTTATTGGCCCATCTTTTTGGAACCAACCTAACCAGAGATTCTGGATTTATATATTACAGCTGTCTGCAACTCATTAGCATTACACACAAAAATGGGAAGGGAGAGACTGAATTATCCACCACACTGCTAGTTCATAGTAAGTCAGGAATTCTGAATTATTGTTATGTTCAAATATAACTTACAATTGCTCTGGTGTAACATAAGCTTTGAGTGTCACATGGCTTCACATTCACAGAAAAGAAAGATCAGAGAATATATTTTCATGTGGTCTCAAATTAACTTGTTTGAAAGTTGAGCTACATTATCTTGTAAGTTGTTTTTAGGAATTTAGGAATACAATAATTTCGTTACTACTGTATTTTTATATGTTTTAACATTTTTTTAATAGTCTGTATAGTTTTGGTGTAAATGAATTCTATTTATAAGTTTACTTTCCTGCTTTTTCTATTTTTGTACCTTAAGAAAATAAAGAAAACAATACTTTGAAATAAGATTAATTGCCTCATGGATCCCTAAGCATGATTATTTGGTTGGTGTAAGATTAATAAAGAAGATTAATGGAATCCATGGAATTATGTACAGACTGTCTCATCCAATTTCAGTATCAGAAATGGATATATTTGACCTTCTTTTCCTCCATTCACTGACATAATCCACATAAATGTTTTCATCAGTTTTTTCTGTCAATTTTAGCACAAAAGTCTAAATAAATATTTTCCAGCTGAAACATAATAAATAAAAAATATAGCTGGATGTTTAGACAAAACAGCAAGGAAAAAGGGTACCTCAAGCTCCGTTTCTCTCCGATTAATATCATCTGTAGATTGATTCAACTTTTCTAGTTCTCCCTAGAAGAAAGCCAAAATAACATGTTGAGTAATAAGACACTGAGAGAGCCCTAGGAGGAATCAAGTTATTAAGTGTCATTTGGCAATTCACAGAGAGGCCCCCCAATGGAATGTTAAATGGAAACAGAAGGATAGAAAATATTTAAAAGTAAAACTGAACTTTACTTTAGCTACGGCTCAGTTTGAAAGGGCAAAGACAGAGACCAGACATATTTTGAAGGTTAATTTTTAACATAATTCTAATTTAAGCTTTGAGGGGGTTTTTTTCTATTACTATTGAAGCTCTGCATAATTATTTAGTATGGCACTATTAGCAAAATGACAAATGATCAAATAGCATATGATTATGAAAATTTTATGATGAAAAATACAAATTTTCCTTGTTCTTGAAGGCTTTAAGGGTTTGGTTCCAATAATAAATAAAGAAAATCCATGCAAAAGTCATAAAATACTAAAATTATTTATTTTTATATTTATTATATGTTTACCCTGTCATTCTTTCAAGGAGAATAAGACACTGTACATATTCATCTCACATTCTCTCTAAAAAAGTAAAAATACTCCCTGAAGTACAGCTTTACTTTTATGTAGGAGAGAGAGAGATTGGACAAAGTTGACATGGCAATCAAAGTTATTGGCTGAATTTCTTTTCCTGACTTAAGTCATAGGTATCCACATGATGACTGTATGGCAGAGAAGGGGGTAAGTACGTCACGTTATGAAGTCATGAATTATGTAATTTGCATTATTTTCACAGTGATGCCACATTGCACATTTTAACCTTCCTTGTATCAGATAGTTACCTCAATACTATAACTAGATTTTGTATTTCTAGATTTTCAGTCCTCTGTGATACAAAAAAAAAGGAAAAACAAAAATTTTCAGAAGCTTCACTTTCACTTTTTTTACCAATTGTTACAATAGTATTATAGAGCAAACTAGCATGATTGCTCCACATTCAGAAAGAGTACCAATAATCATAGACAAGGAGAGGTTTGAACAGATAAACTTACTCAAAAGCCAAACATTTTTTTACTTTTTATCCTATTGCCAGCGTCTATCTATTAAAAAAAAAATACAACCATTTTAAATGTACTTCAGGAATTTTAAAAACAGAAACAATTTGGTGTTCTGGTTAAGATGCTGAGTTCTAGTCTGATATGAAAGGCAGCTGGATGACTTCTGGCCAGTCACTCTCGCTCAGCCCAACCCACCTCATAGGGTTATCATTGCAGCGAAAATAACAGGAGGAAGGAGTACAAACTGTTCAAAGTTACAACAGCAATGAAAAAAGTTAATTACAATCGGTCCACTTTTATGACCATTGCAATATCTCTGCAATCATGCGATCAAAATTAAAGTGCTTAGCAACTGACATGAATTTATGATGGATATACCATCCTGATGTGGTCACAATGTGGGACCTTCTCAGCCAGTCAATCAGGGAAGCCGAATTTGCTTAACAACCATATGATTTACTTAACAAACATGGCAAAAAAGGTCAAATTGGTTGCAACCATCTTGCTTCTGGTCTCAATTGTCTTAAGTCAAGGATAACTGGTATTCTGGCCTCCTTCAGTTACTTATAAAATAATAAAGATGGAGTAAAAATCTAATACATAAATAATTAACTATAAAGAAACAAAGTCTTCTTCAAGTCAGGACTGGCAGGGAAGAAGGGAGGGAAAGGAGATAAAGCTTCTCCTTTTAAACAATGTTTTGGATCATTTGAAGTCAATATTTTTTCTTATTTTAACCTTACTTCCCTGTCTTTGGAAAGGTATTATGAAACTCTACTGAAAGGAATACTTGCAGTGAATTTCCAGTGTAATTGGCTGGTAAGTTTTTCCCATCTGTAGCAACATCATGATTATTATTACCAACCCCAATCTGATAAAGTGAAGGAAACTCTTGATAAGTTCATTGACATGAGCATCAAAAGGATGAAAATAGCATTTTTTTGTAATAAAAAAAAAGTGAACCCATAAAAGCAATCAGGACTTTATTCATATCAAAAACCACCTAAGTGTCTTCCAAAGAGCTTATAGAATAAATTAAGGGGGAAAGCAAACAAAATACACATTCACCAAAAAATACCACAAAAATCACAGAACAATTACAAACACTGCCAGCAAAATCTAGCAGCAAAATTAAACCAATGTTGAGACATTGGCATCACTGAATGATTTGACTTGTGCCAGAGAACTGGCAATATAAATCTTTTAGTGGACAACAGATCTGCCATAGGAGAGCCACCTTAGAGAAGGAATTTCATAGAAAATGTGCAATGGCGCTACGCTATATAAAAAAGTGCCATTTCCTCAGTCACCATAAATCATTTCTCTGATTCTTAAGATGAAAATTCAACTGACTACCTTCACAAATTGGCCAGGTTTGTACTAGGGAAGGAGATGCTTGCTACAACTTTGTCAATTTTGGCAGCAATGGGAAAAGTGAAAGTAATAGATAGAATATATAACATCCTTTCCTATGTATTCTGTCAGAGTGGCATCAGTCTTTATGTTAACTTCCCACCTGATCCTTGGGTTATGTTAAATCTGCATCTATTAAGAAGCCCTTCCAATAGCCTTCTGGTTCTGGTAAAGATGTCTCTCCCTCAAGTCAAACTATCACGCATACACTTTTATTGGCAATGATATGAAACTGATTTGCCACCCTCCTTTGAGATTTCACAGCCGTTTCCCATTCAGGCACCAACCCACTTTTCAAGGTAGCCAGTTAAATGCTGTCACCTGAAACCAGCTTGGGGAAGACTTGAACTACTAAGACCCATCAGAGTTTATTGAGGACGTCCAAAGATCTCCCAGGGACTGAAACTTTTTTCATGGCAGAATCAGGTGACATTTAGAGCAGGAGCTGGCATCATCTATTAACAAGGATGAAGTACTGCCTTTTAATAGAACTACAGCAAGATCCTGAACATGGATTAAATTAGCCCCAGGGTCCTTTCCAATCCTTTCTAACTGGCCCCCAACCTTCTAGGGCCCTTCTTGCCCAAGCACGACATCCCTTGGTGGTCTCCCATCTCCTTTTCGATCCACCTCCCGGTTCACTTGGTCCGCCATGCTAAGAAAAACTGTAAAGATAAAAACGGATTGTGGAGAGGAGCTGAAATCAGGAAACCGGAGCAAACTGGGAGAGGAAGGATCCAGCTCGAGAAAGAAAATGCCGCTCCATGAAGGAAGAGCAAAGCTCCTTTCGAATCGGGAGCATCTTTCCTTTGCAATGAGTTTCTCCATCCAGCTGCAGAAAGACTTCGGGAAAATCTAATAAAGCCAAAGCAAAAAAGAGGGAGGAAAAAACACACTACCATCAAAATAACGGGGTGCAACAGAGAGGAAAACGCCCCGGGAGGGAGAGAAAGCGAAAGATATTCTCCAAGATTCAAAGGACCTAACCAAGGTCGTACCACACGCGCACACAAACACACACACGCCTGCTTACTTTGTAATTGCAGACCTGCCCGCGCCCCCATCCTATCACCCCACCCACTTTCGGCTGCAATCGCGCCCCTGCAGCCACTCTCCCAAGGATCTCGGGTAGGGCGATCGGAGACTCCGCTTACTTGAATCCTGGGGTCCACTTCTTCCTCAGCTTCCGGAGGCTGCAGCTGGCTCCCTTCCTCCGCCGCGGTCCTCTTGGGGCCAGGATCCATGTTGGCTGAGCGCTATTTGCCAATCCAGAAAGGAGGAATATGATCCTAGCTCTGCGCTTTGGGGAGCCGAGGGGCCGCCGCCAAGCTGCTCCAGCAGCCCAGGTTCCACTGGCAGAGGACTGCGCCGCCCCTGCGCGTTGGTCTGAGTCTTTTACTCCTCGCCGCGAGGCTGCGCCGGAAAGAAGAAACCGCTTCTCCGTTAGCGAAAGGGGGAAGGAAATGTGCCTCGCCCCCTTACTGCCGCCGCAACTGCTGTTATTAAAGCGGCGGCGGCGGCGCTGTCACCAAATGGGTCTGTCCCTCCTTGACACCTATGCGAATTCAACTGTACCAGGCGTCTTCTTCCCCGAAACAATTAACGCAAGGCCTCCGAAGAATAATACAATAGCTTCAACAAAGCAATAATAATATTTTAAATGCGGTTAAATAATACAAGCTTCGCCCCCAGGCCACTCGATTTTTTTCAATGCTGCAGACTTGCTCCCCTCCGCCTGGAATCGCTTCGGCAATCCCCACATACTACCAGCCTGGTCCAGTCACCCCGCGAGCTAGGACGCCCCAGAGTCACGTCCTGGGAAGCCAGCCTTGCTGCTTTCTGGCGAACCCGCAAGGAAACTGGTGGGCGCCTGTCAGGTTTAAAGGAGTCGAGATGGCCCGGAAGCTTTTGTGGAGCGCAGTTGCTTCACTAGGCACACCACTGACTGCCATCAGCGGGTAGGTGTGCACTGCATGTAGGAGATGGATGTGGTCCTACGGACAGGTAAACAGCCATTGATGGATTGATTGATTTGTACATCAGAGTCCCAGAAATGCTGTTCTGGAGAGCTTACCACAATGAATGCAAAATCACAATATCACACCAACAATGAAAAAGTCAACAAGAACAAAACCCACAATTGGGGCACATCAACAGGTACTTCCTTCCACCCAAGTCTTCAAAGTCTTATCCTCAAGGAACTTCTCTCTCACCAGAATGTGTGGTGTGTGACACATTCTGATGAGAGAGAAGTCCCCTGAGAATGGGCTCCAGCCCTACTCCTAAAGCTTGGAAAACTAAATCTCTGGTCCTGGTGACTGACCCAGATTGGATCCTGCAACATTATCCTGAGACATGTATATTTGCCTTCATTTGTGAGATATTTCATTTAATGTGTCAGGCAATCCATTAACAATTACTTCTGAACTTGTAGATGCATAAACCGTGAAGTAATAGTGACTGGCTGGATAGGGTGACAATATTCCCATAGCATGCTAAGTCATGCTTTGCTTAATTGTTTATGTCACACATAATTGCTTTACTTAATGTAACTTAGTAAATCAAACACCCTGTATGAATTCACACAGCACACTAAGCCACAAACTCATGGCTCAATGTGATATATAAACCCAATTAGTAGACTGGAAGAAATTACTTTATTCTAAATTAAGATTTAGAATTCTTCCTTTTACCTTTTAGATCATCTAAATTCTAAATGTAGTACACAACAGATCCTTTCTCTAGTGACTAAATGTAGTACACAGTAGAAAGGCTGTGTACATGTGATATACCAAAAATTGAAGATATCATATACAACCTGTTTGATTACAAACTAGTGGAAAGCCATTTACTTAGATCTCTTCTAAAAAAATCTCAGAAATATTGGGACACTCAGAATTAACTATTGTATCTCTTGTATAAAATGAATATGCATATTACTAGGAAGACTACGATTTCCATATCAAAGACCATTTTGAAAAGGATTGACTACAAAAAAACAGATTTGGGCTGCCTGGATAAATGGCAATTGTTATTGAATATGTCCTACTGTTTTTCTGTAATCTTTTTTGTAGTTTTTTGATATGGTCTGATAACTAAGTAATAAAATATATTATATTGTATTGTAGCACACAATAGAAATAGGATCTTGTAGGTCATTTAGTCCAACCCCCTACTCATGCAGGAGACCTTATGGCATTTCTGACAAGTGGCTGTCCAATGTCTTCTTAAAAGCTTTCATCACTTGTCAGATGGTATAGAGTCTCTTGCTTAAGCAGGAGGTTGGACTAGATGACCTATAAAGTCCTTTCCAACTCTTATTATTCTGTAAACAAAATCACTTTAGACATTCGGTCAAGAACAACCCCCAGAGTCATAGAAGCAGCAGCAGTTGTATCTGGTAATTTACATATGTCTCAGGAAAAAAAATTATACTAACAGGTTTTAGTATATGTTTTTATAGGAGTAGCACATGTCTGTGTATCAGAATAATGCCACTCATCCCAGCTCCCATATATTCACACCTACTCAAGAGAATGTAGGATTCACAGCAAAGAACTGTACCTAGCAATGCTTAGTGCTGTGATGGCAAACCTAGGACACCATGTCATTTTTGGTTACATGCCAGGCCTCCAGACTCTCTGTAAGCAGAGCCTCTTAAGCCTCCAATACTCATTCAATTTTCAGAGTCCCCAGGGATTTTTGTGTGACTTCTAGAGGGTCTGGAGGTCACTCCGCATCTGAGATCTCATGAGGACTCTCTAGAGCCTCCAAAGCTCACTTGAGGCATGCTTTCCTCCACTTTTCAGAGCCCATGCAGGATCATTTTCCAGTTTCCAGGTCTAATACAATGCAGATCAACTCAAAAAGGTACTTTGAAAATATTAGTTATGCAAGTATTTATTTATTAAATAATGCATTTAAATAATTAATTTAATGTATTACTCTTTGTTAAAAATGGTTTCTCTTTTGTCCGGGGTGTGTGTGTGTTCATGTGACATGCCAGCAGAATCAAGATAGGCATTTTCTGAATTTTTGGCATGCTAAGCCCAAAAGGTTTTCCATCACTAGCCTAGTAGTAGTCGATGGAGAGCACACAATGGCATTCAAGTATATAAAGTGAATCTGCTCCCTCCTCCAAAATATAAAAATGTCATAAAAATATGGCATGCCACGCCCCTTGTCAGGTGAAGCAGAATGTAATGCCCTCTTTAGAAGCAGCAGCACACATGTTCTTCATACTCTTTCCCAATTCATGTTCCTTCCTGATCACAATGAAGCACCACCCCTCTTTTTTTGTTTAATCAAAGATCTGGGTTATTTTAGGAGACTGCTAGATGAATATTTAAAACAATTTTAGTGGTCTTCCAAAATCATGTACGGTAGATACGGAGCCTGAAGATTCAAGTGTCTGCAGCTCCAAATAGCCAATAGGAGCTGGGGCAATCCAACTTCCAACTCAATATTGCCACTGGGGCACTTCAGATTGTATGGCTTGTATGGAGTGAAGGGGGGAAATAATGTTTTAAAACTTGTAATGGTGTATGGGAATGATGTTGGAGGACAGTTGGAAGAGTCACAATCTAGACTACAGTCAGGCAAGGAGCAGCTGAGTCTTGAGAAGGAATTGGGATGTACCAAACTCCTCAGTAGGAATCTCCCTAATTTCTTGCACTGCAAGAGAAGATGAGGGAGAGATGTACTTTTAGAGTTACAACATTCTGTTAATATAGCCAGTGCTTTTTTTTGTAAAAAAAAAAAAAAAAGTTGCCGGAACTCACACGTCATACAACCCACCTTGCCTACCCTACAAGGTTCCATCCAAAAAAGGTGCCGGAACTCCGTTCTGGGCATTCTATGACAAAAAAAAGCCCTGAATATAACTGTACAATAAAGGCAGAGCTAGTACTTCTGAGTATGCTTCTTGTCTGGAGTAACTAGCAAAATTGAAAAACTTGGAACAACTAAAGATGAATGTAAGATGCCTCTATGATGGCCTGTGCTGAAGCATAGGTAACATTGTGAAGATATACTCTGTAAAATGGTAAACAAAACATCTATGCTGCAGCTAACAAGATGTGAAACCAAGCTGTGGATCTCAAATCTATTGTGTTCAGTTGCAAAGTTAGTGCTACAGAGTGATTCTGTGTTTGTTTATCCAGAAGTGATGACACTAAATCTAGCTGTATGGCAAATTGACCTTGACTAATCTTGAAAAGCTAGGAAGGATCAAATTATGATATATGATACGATATGATATACGATATGGTGAGATAGATGCATTGATATGATAGAGGGGCACTGGAAAAAACCTATAGGGCTATAGAATAAGATTGGGAAAAAGAAAAGTAGTACCAGCAAAAGGCAGGTACAAACCAATATCAAATACTTGCTAAGAAAACTTTGTGTACGTGTCCATGAAGTCGCCAGGATATAAGGAGACTTCACTTTAACCTCACCAACATCAGTGGAGCTTATTCCCAAGGAGTGTGCATAAAAGTCTGCATAAGTTTAAGATAATTACCTCTCTTAGAGTAAGATATCACTAAACCCTTTATGACTGAAATAATTGTGTCTGTTCCTGACCTATCATGCAATTGCATTGTTTTATAGTTAGAGAGAAGAGAGAGGTGGCAGTAGAAATGCCAAACCGTTTAAGAAAAAAGTCTGGCAATATTATTTCAAGAGAATATGTATTTGAGAAACTATCTCAAAGTTAAAACAGTTTAAGGTAAGTGCTTTTGTATATGTATGTATGTATGTATGTATGTATGTATGTATGTATGTATGTATGTATGTATGTATGTATGTATGCAGAGCTTTTTTCCTCATAGAATGCCCAGAACGGAGTTCCGGCACCTTTTTTGGATGGAACCTTGTAGGGTAGGCAAGGTGGGTTGTATGACGTGTGAGTTCCGTCACGTTGTTTTTTTTTTATAGAAAAAAAGCACTATGAGTTTATAGACTATATAGGTAATCTTTGACTTATGACCACAATTGTGCCCAAAAATTTCTGTTGCTAAGCAAGACATTTGTTAAGTGAATTTTACCCCATTTTACAACTTTTCTTGACACAGTGGTTAAGTGAATCACTGCAGTTGTTAAATTAGTAACATAGTTGTTAAGTCAATCTGGCTTCCCCATTATCTTTGCTTGTCAGAAGCTCACCAAAGGTGATCACATGATCCCGGGATACTGCAACTGTCATAAATATGAACCAGTTGCCACGCATATGAATTTTGATCACATGACAATGAATATGCTACAACAGTGGTAAGTATAAAAAATGGTCGTAAGTCACTTTTTTCAGTATCACTGTAACTTTGAATTTTTTACTAAATGAACTGTTGTCAGTGGAGAACTATCTGT